AGGTCTATGTTTCTACGAGTTTTAAATAACTTTTAAAGAAAACTATATCTTTTTATGCGGATAGGTTCTTTGAAATATTTTGATAATGGTAACAGAGTACAATGTTAATAAAAATCAATATTCATTAAGGATATTCAAAACAGCAAACTTGCATAGTTTGTCAATTATTTCTTTATATTTCCATAACAGAATTAACGCGATCATTGTTTATGTTTAAATAATTTAATCTAATTCGTCCTTTTAACTCTTCCACAGAGACATGGGACCCGATTACGATTTATCTTTGAGGTAACAACGTAAAAAAGGTCAAGAATAGTTAAAACTGAAGAATACGATGGCTATGTATCGTATATCGTATGTTGTATTCCGAATCATCTCTTACAATAAGCTAATCGTAGGTACTCGGTTACTGTGTATACAGCATATACTGATACTCAATCTAGTCGATAATATTTTAAATCCAGTTGCATTTGAAAGAGAATGATACGAATAAAATCAAACAGTAATGGATTTACGTATAAGTGATGATAAAAATTCTGTACAATTATGTATACACAACTAAAACGAATTTTATTTTAATATTTTAGCAGTCTATTTTTTAAATTCTTGTAAGAAATATGAATTTTCTAATAATTATTGATTTAATCTTGTACAGAAATAAAATTCAGAATCAATTAGTATCGGAAGAAAATTAACGAAACATATCTTGAAAAAGATTTTAGACTAGCAATAAGGAACACTTGCACTCTTTAGCTAAAAAAGCAAACGCGAATCGCACAATTTCTGTCTGGTGACATTAATTATGATATTAGAGGGCATTAATTATGATATTCTTGTCAATTATTTACATATCGTAGTACTTGCTTCATTAAAAAAGAGAAGTCCATATTAACAACCTTGATTCATATTCCCACCTTCTCCCCTATATAGTGCATAATCCATCAGATATTAATAGGACCCTAAAATTTGCAACACTTTAAGCCTCCTGAAGACTAAATTCGCGTTTTATATATTATCTGCGAAGAAGTACTATAACTTATTTATTTACTTATTTAACCTCTATTTCCTGAAGACTAAATTCGCGTTTTATATATTATCTGCGAAGAAGTACTATAACTTATTTATTTAACCTCTACATTTTACGGCTTTTGAGGAGACCACCTTACATAATTCTGGTCTTCTTACGTAATATTTTTGACTTTATGAACTACTGCAATTATGTATTATCGAAAATATGACAACTATCAAAATTATCGAAGCTATAAGCTAGACCGTTACGATTTGTCTCTTCTCTAAGCTCTGTGAAGAAATACTGATCGGTATTTAATATACCACGTCGAACATTAATGCCAAAATGAATTGATTTTTTGTATTTCTTCTAAGTCTTAATCAGATTCGTTACGTCTGTTGGACAATCTCCGTTATTTACAGATACAAATTTATTTGTCAACGATATTCTTAGAGGAAAATTTGTATCGTTTCCTAGCAGTCTGAAAAAATTTTTTTAAATTTCCAACATTGTATGCGTCTTACTTTATTTCTTGTACAGGAAGCTCGGTAGAAAAATAGTACGCATTACCTTTTTACCATTCTAAAATTCTTCTAACGAAAGTTTGACTAGAATAAAACTACAATCGCGTTCTTTGACTACTTCTTCTGTCGAGGTTTGTGGATTAAACTCAAGATAAACTGGAACACATAATCTAACACTATAGTTATTTACAACCGGTTTTGGTACACACCTCTCAGGCTTCAAAGAAGACTGCTATGCTCATAAATTATGTTCGAACTTATGAAAGTATGTTTGTGCGGTTGTACTCGATTGCGATACGTATTATTGCGTATCTTTGCAACGTCCATAGAATTGTTGTTGCAGCAGGAAACAAGTAAATATACCGATCTTTACATTACCAGCAAATGCTAACATATTCCGCAATAGTTGCTGTAGAAATTTTAACTTGAAATGATAAACTGTTAATAAGTAGACATTATTTTGTACACGAAAGTGTATATAGGACATTTCCAACGAAACATAGAATTTAGTAAAAATTGCAAATATTTTACGAAATATGAAATTTTTCAACATTGTATTCTCACAATTTTTAATGCAAGATGATTCGAAGGATTGGTCTGCATAAAAACTTATGCAGTTGCATTTAAAAGAAAAGTGCATTTGCGTCTCTTAGATATATCATTGGATTTAAAAGAAGATGAATTTTTTGTCCATCTTTGATCAAAATGGAGATGTAACTGGTATCAATTACGTGAATTATTTTATTAATATATATGCACAATTAACAAGTGCAATTACCCAAATGACCAATTACTTTTGAAAAAGATAACAATTGAAAAGTATAGTATTCTACCTTTTGATAACTGAAATGAGTACTATTGGCTTGAAGAAATTAATGTCAGTTAAAAAAATAACATCAAAGTCTCTTATAAGCGCCTTTGAAGACGATAGTGAATGACATTTCTTTGTAATCATTATTCTTTCTTTTTCTTCATTTTTATGTGTTTACCAACGATTCTAAATAAAATATTTGGAATAAAAAGATAATTGTTCTTTCTTATTATAATTGGCGTTAAACGTTTCTTTTCCTTTTTTTTCCTGTAATTATTTAATCATCGAAAAATTCTTCAATTTTATTTCCATAGCTATTACTTGTAACAGTAATAACGATGTTATTTAACACGCGTGTTAGATAATATACCTAGATTTTATGATATACAAGAAGTATTATATAAGTATGAGACACGGTATAAAGATAGATCATGTGAAATAATTAAAGAAATATTAATATTAATGTTTCATTAGCTTTATATTAGTATTTTGTATTGATATAAATTAATATTTTGCATCGACATTTTACCCAATATCCTTTTGTTATTTTTCAATTGTAATTTTTAATTTATTCATCAATGAGAAAAAGACACGCTACAAGAACGCCTTGCAAATTATTGTATATTCGTGTCAAGTAATTAAGTTAGCCAATTTAATTTCCTCGTTTCAAACCACTGTTTAATTATACTAGTATAAATAGACGCATTATCTTGCTGAAGCATAAAATTCTCGATATTAATAAATCTCAGGGAATCGTGATTTTATCAAGCATGTTTTCAAACATTATATAATTTGGTATTTAAAAACGCAACTTCATTGTACTTTCTTTTTCATAGCCACACAGTGCAGTCCACACCATAACGAATCCATCATCGACTTATCCTTTCGGTAATATTACTTTTTCGTTTTTTAAATTATAGTAATAATATAAAAACTGACTAGGTCAATTTTTCATCTACGAATCCTTATTTTTACCATTTAATGATCAATTCTCTCCTAAACTCCATCTTTTGCGAACACTTTTTACTAGTAATCAAGGTCTTGTTCTTAAATTCTTATACTTAATTGTTGGAGAATTTTTTAACGTTAAAACTATCGATCTTAATGTGTAATTGAATATATTATGCATAAATAATAGTAATTAAAATCGTTCGATGAAAGTAAATAGACATATACAATTACATCGAATAAAAATCAACATTAATCTTGTTAATATCCGTTTTACGAATTTACGATACCAGTAATTGTAAAAACAAATGGTCAGAAACCGGTTGTTTTGACTAGTTGTATAATTTTAGTGATAACAGACGTTCTACATGGATATTAGTTTATAACGTAATTCTAGCTTCTGCTGCTGTTGTCGAACAGAGCGAATAGAATATTATGCAACTCGTAAGTTTTCTCCTTTCTCTCGTTTTTCATTGTGCCTAACAAAAGTATATGTAATTTTGGAATACCTTTTCCGCTAATAATTTAATCAAAATTATTTAACTTTTTTTAACTTTCATTGAAACTTTATAGGCAGATATCATTATTCTCTTGTCCTAAAATTTCCTTCCTTTGCTTTTTATTTTTCCATCTTATCTTTCATTAATATTTCACTAGAAGAAACAATACCTATTATATATATTGCGATTTTCTAATGATATACACATATCAAAGTTTTTGTATTGTAGCTTATTTCTTTTATCACGACTGGTCATTTGATCGGTTGACAAATGTCTATCCTTTTATGATACGCCAAATAAGATATCGAAAAAATTGTAAAATCAAAATTCATTTCAACCGTAAGAAATATGTCTGCGAAAAGATTACAGTGACAACAGTTATAACTTGCAAAATATGCGGTAAACGAGAATGAGATATTATTTAACCTTTATTAATATCATTTAACAAATACACAGAGTTATATGACTATTATATTATTTTATTACATTATTTTTTTATTCAAGTAAAACGAATAAAATTAATTTCTTTCGTTACCACTTAAAATTTCTATTGTTTATTTATTATTGCACGCGTTAAATTGGCTATTATCTGCGTTCAGCTGTAAAATATAGCTTCTATTTGTGGACCGGTTCGATAGAAATGGGTATATATAAATTGCCAGTAGGTTTAACGTTTAATGCGAACAGATCATCGGGTAAATTGTTGTAAACAATGACGCGAATAAGAATTAAATAACGATAAAATAAGAAAATAAGAAAAAAATAAATCATCCTTTCTTATTTCGATATACATATGTCAGAATTTACATTTTCTCTTATACTTTAAAATATTGTTTACTTATTATTGTTTTCTTGTTAAGAAAACAAAACTAGAATGATATCGAAAGACATGGTGACAGTAAATGAGATTAATATGCATTATTTATAAAATTTCACTCACGAGCAAAATTTTCATTAAGCAATTCAAATATCACCAGCGCTGAAAAGTCGTGAAACTGTATTGTATGTATTGTAAGTAAAATTGATAGCGATAACTTCTTTTCCTTTCTTTTCTTTTCTTTTTCTTTTCATTTAGAAACACGTCTCATTAACTTCTATTAAGTATATATAACGCGTGGAAAGCTGTAGGATTAAAAAGAACGGTAAAAATATCACGTTTGAAAAATCTGTTTTACTTTTTCTAACAAGCCTTACCTTTCTGTTTATAGGCACACAGGCACCGAGCATTTTCCAATGTCTGAACCGATGCTTATGTGATCGATAGACAGCCAGCAGAAGAAATTATAAATTATCTGGAAATAGTGGCGAGGACTAACTAGCCCAGCCAGAGAGGTCCTCCTCAGGATGCCGCAGAGTTTCGCGACTATCCAAAGACTCGGACTCGCGTCACGAGCGTGCGGTAGAGTAACCAGCTGAGGATGTCGGAGCAAAACGGGCCCGGCGAGGGCCCAGGACCGGGCCCGGGGCCGGGTCCTGGCTGGTGGCCAGCCTCGCAGTCTTGGAAGACAAACTCGTGCACCGCCGCCTCCTCGTCCACCGGTTCCACCGCCCCAGACAACTCCGCCTCCGTCTCTGCCTCCTGCACCACCACTACCTCCTCTCTGACCACCACTACTTCCGCCACTTCCTCCACCCCTGGCGGACCGACCTGCACCATCACCGCGGCCCGTTCTTCCGAAACAGGAAAGAATGTCTCCGTCACCACTATCAACGTACCCCCCAATCAGGATATGCACGATGGTAATTGTCATTTCTCCGCTATGCTAGCTTTACAAGCTCATTTCCTTATTCATTAACAATTCCTTCTCATTCTTCTTACAATCTTTTTTCCCTTTTTCCACTGAATATTCCAGAGAACACAGTAGTGGCAGAAACAAGATAATTTCGAATGACAAAGCAAATGAAACGTAAAATTCTCATTGAAAATCTACCAAATTCGGGCACATTTGTCTTATGACTAATTGACACTTGTCTAATTGAATAATTCAAAATTTCTTTTTTTTTAAATCTCTCTCTTTAATACGTCTCTCTAATACGATGGAATGTCATTATATCGTAAATTTCCACCGAATTTTAGCAGTATTAAATAATTTGCGATGAAAAAATATTCTAACCTCTATTTATATATTATTTATAAAATTTACTAAATTATATTATAACGAATATAAAAAAATATTCAGCCTGCAAGAATAGCATTGAAAGAGTATACATTGAAAGAGTATGAATGGCGCATTTATATGATATATCTGTAACAAAACGATCGATACTTCGTACAGTTTATAGAATAATTGAATAAAAATTTTAAGTACAAATTTTTTCTTATTCAATATTTTTCTTAGCTGTGTGCGAATTAACTTAAATTTTAGCAGCTGGGTGAAGGATTCGGGTGAAAATAGGATAGTTATAGGAACGATAACAGTTATCGTTCAGAGAAAAAAAATTGTCTGAGATGAAGTAAATTTCATTGCACGGAATAAACGAGCAGGTTGACAATTTTTTTGAGTTCCTCGAGTGTTGTCTTCCGATGAATCGTTGTTAAATGACACTACCTCGACTGGCAGGGGACAGTTTGACAGGTCTTTGATAGATCTGGTCAGAGTAGTTGTTGAACTTCTGATAGTACTAACTCTCCATAGTCGATCGTACAAGTCGATTAGGTGGCCAATAATTTGCACTCTATATTAACGAGTTGAGCTTTGACTAGCGATGTTGAAGCCTGGGCCAGCGCTGTCTGTGAATTGACATATTTCTGGGCATATCTGATGGTTGAATTGAGAAATATCTTCAGCGCCGACCACGTTCGTGGCTCGGTATTAGTCGATTAGGTGGCCAATAATTTGCACTCTATATTAACGAGTTGAGCTTTGACTAGCGATGTTCGACGTTCGTGGCTCGCTACTCGAGTTCGATATCCTTTTCCATTCTTTAAACGATTCCTTATCGAGTTTCCTTTTGACGACGTGAACGAGAAAATCATCTCAAAAATCAACGAATCATCCTAATGCTTCCAATGGACTCAATGCTTTGATCAGTCGCGAATAAAGGTTTGCGAGTTCTTGAAATGTTCCTTTCGCGACGGTGCTCACGCCAAAAAATAAACTCAACGATGAATTTACGAGTTCTTTTTAGTCAATTAAGTTGTCTTCATAATCGATTAAATGTGTGGGACAACTTGAAAATTGCCTCCGGTGAGATCCAAATTTCTAATTTGCAATTCCACGCAAGCTTTAAGATGAATTTTAAGATTGTATAGTTTTTGCAGGAAGGTGTTCGACACGACCAGAGATTTAAACGTGTCTCGGAACTCGATCCACGAGTAGAAACTTCCATGAAAATCGGGAATATTGGTTGTTGGTTATTTAACGATGGACGATTGCTGACTGAGAATGATGTTCGTTTTAGAGTCGAATTGATCTTTTGAAGGAATTACAGCGGTACTCTCTTCTCATTCAACAATTCCGTGAATTTTTCTAATTCGTCCAGATCAATTTTCTCCGTCTTACGATAACGTTTTTCCTTTATATACGGTGTGTCCGAGAGAATTTTTTCCCCGTCAGATTTCGTTTGATATTTCTTCTTCCATGTAGTGTTATGATTTTGCAGATATTTATCCCAGCTATTCCTCGATGCTTGTTTTCTGATTTCGATTCGAAAAATGATAACATCTTGATCGATTAGTTTAACACACGATTCATTAATAACGTTAAACAATTCGTCTTATTCATCTAAAAGTGCAGAGATATTCGTTGCTTATTGCTATACATAGTCTCGACGATTAGATGATTTTCAGAATGAAGTAGGAGCCCCTTGCTATTCTCAAGTATATATGATATTTACTTGGCCGACCGTCCACCGAGTGAAAACAAAAGTTTGCGCTGTTCTTGTCTTTGTGAGATAGAGAATTTTTAATATCACGTCATCGTTACACTTTTTTATCACTTTCACAGTTTTCCCACCGTTTCCCACTCAAATCCGGGGCTCGAACGGCCAGTAATGATGTTTGGGAATTAATTTCAAGTTTAGAGGGGCTGGATCAAATAGAATAGTTTACATAGAATAGTCAATGTACAGAGAAAGAAAGTTGTCTGTGATCTAGATACTTTGATCACTCCTCGTATACTGATTACGAGAGCCGAAAGCCGAATTACGAATTACGAGATCCGAACAGAGCCGCCAATTACCAAACATAGTCGAAACAATTGAAACGACTGTTGCTTAGCCCGTACATAAGTAATCTCGAGTCTAAACACATAAACATACACGCGCATTTGGCACAAAATACATCTATTTTCCTGACATTGGCCCACACGGATATTATATAATAATAAATGAATACCAAAATTCACGAAATTAATTAATCGATAATCAAGTGTATGCGAATTTGTTACATATTTTACATTTACTTTTCCGAAAACCAAATCTCCTTCAACACAGTTGATATTCTTCATTTTTATCATTTTATTTATTTATTTCCTATTACACCATGTGTAATATTATTATTAATATGATGTCACGTTATATAACTACATTCATTTTAACTACAGGATGCAAAATATAACAGTTTCAGACTCTTTTTATCATTTATTTAGTGCAACTGTGACTTTTTATCCTCCCGTAATCAAAAAACATTACTATATTTTAAAATTTCTATATTTTCCAGTTATAAAAGATATATATTAACGAATTATTATTTACATAATTATTTTCAAATATTTTTAATTATTATTTACATAATTATTTTCAAATATTTTCATACATTTTTTAAATAGAAAATATTCGATTTAATATGAAAATTGAAAATATAAATTTTTTATTACATATTTTTGTATAGGAAAATTTTATTCGTCCGTGTATAATATCTGTATATTATGAAATGGAGTATTACTACTATAAATCAATGTTTCGTAACAAAATTTAAAAAAAATTGGATTTTTCATATTTCTAGATCACATGTTTTTTATTTATATGAAATAGCTAGAATGATAACATTACAATGCGATGAAGAAGGAATTAAATTATAGTATCCATAAGAGTATACCTCTAAGTTTCTGTGAAAACTTTACTATGTACTATGATTAAAAACAAGCAAAAAACGTCATACAGATATTGATCTATAAATATTTCATTACTAACTTCATGTAGTTTAAATTTTATTACAATATTTCATTGCTATAATCAATTATATGCCAGTCTTCTTTCATAAGCAAAGTCTTTGAAATAAAAGTTATAATTTGGAAGAAGGATATAAAGTACATATAAAGGATGTAAAGCACACGCGTGTGTGTTTGTGTATGTGTATTTGTAGGAAACTGTTTTTACACTGTTCAAGTATTGAAAAAAATCTAATTACAAATTTTTATTATTCTAGCGAAATTAAAAAAATTAAAAATATTCGAATTTATGAGAAATACAAAAAGTACAATTATATTTTTATTTGAATCGATATCCATGATATTTTCTACACTATTGAATCACTTGATTTGATCATTTGTATATATTCCAAAAATGCTTTTTATTTCTATTATCGTTTATCAATTGATGTTTTAAATAATTTTCTTTTTATTGATTTAAACGATCTAGTTAATACTAGATAATACCATGGTGTTATTTTGTCAAAAATTTGTTTCTGGTACTTACTCTAATAATATCTACATTCATTCATATGGATGAGAACAAAATTTAAATTGTTTATTTGTAATAAGTGGAATCTTCAAATCTGCTTTAATAGTTAGATATCGTTAAATCACAAGTGAATATGTCACAAGTATAAAATAGAAAATAAAATGAAGTAACCTAATCCAAACTATTGTGTACCAACAATGATTCTATAATATCAGTAAGGATTGAAAAAAAGGATTTTTTGGAAAGAATTATTTCAACAACTGAATAGACATTTTCTTTTTTTAAATAATTCTATTGCATTTTTTTTCTTTTAATAGAATATATTTTTAATATAATGTAGAATTGAAATTTCAACCAAATTTTATATCTTTACTATTTAAAAAATTGATTATGGAATGTTGGTATAACAACATATTCTCAGTTTTTTTTAGAGAAATTTTGGCAATAACGAGTTTAGTAATTACTTAAATATATATTTTAAGTAATAGAGTTATGAAAATACAAAAATTCAATGCTAATAATGGAATTTCTATGTCTTAATTCCTTATTTAGAATTAATTAACCGACTATAGCAAGATATACAACGATAATATGCCCATGTTTGTTATTCCATATATTATTAAAATAAGGTAAATACAATATTACTAGGTTACGTTCAATTACAGTTTTATAATAATAGCGACACAGAAAAAATTATTCTTTTCCCAGATATTTTCCCATATTACCAAGCACAATAAAGATTTATCGTTTTAATTTAAAGTTCTGATATTATGTAATTATAACAGATCCTTACGCTGAGTCGACAGTACTATTCGCGAGCAATTCGCAAACTATGTTTGCTGGCAATGTATATAGATACTTATGCGTTCAGCGAGTAGCAAACTCATTAACGAATAGCAGACATTGTTCGTTCAAACGGCGGTACATCAAAGAACTTGTTTGTACATTTAGAATTTACCACTGCCCGCAAGCTTGCGAGCTCATCATATCGAATATGATATTCTCTCTGTTCGCGAATAGTTTTGATCGTTCTGCATTCAGCATTCTGTTATTATGATAATACTATCTTTTATCTTTACTTTTATCGCAAACAAATATTTTTGGGAAGTAATTTTGAGTAAAAAGCGACATGTCGATACTTGAATGATAATCAAACTTGAAAGTTTTAATTTTATTACTATCATGGTAAATTCGTAGATTTGGTATCGACTGAAATTCATAAAAAAAGAAAAATTGAAGGAGGGTATCAATTTTTGTAAAATTGTAAAATTATTGTAAAATTACATTAGAAATGTTGTTCCATGTTCTTCCATTTATATATTAAACCATTATAAAGCTTGTATATATTAAGCTTGTCATTTTTATTCTGTCAGTACAATTTTTAATCGTTGCAGTAATGTGAGTGTCGAAAATAGAATCTACGTTGGTGTGATACCTTTTTCCTTACAGTGGTTTTTCAAGCAATTTCCTAAGAGTATATCTATTCCATATTTTAAAATATAACATTTAAAGATTACTAAATAAAACTTAATAAACAGAGATAAGTTATAAGTAAAGTATATCAGAAACAAGATTAATCCTTTATCAGCTACTCATGCTGTATTTACTGAACTCACTAATACTGAAACAAAAAATACATATCTTGCATACATATTGCCTCGCAAATTGTCACGGAATTATTTCTTAGAATCGATTGGTCGATGTCAAGCGTCCGTGTTATCTAACGATACGTATCGACAATGATACAACCATTAATGAATCATCGAAACAAAAAAAATTATATTTTGCATTTATCGTTATGAGATCAAGTTAATGGAATTGTTAAAATTGATCTTTATGAATATCATGAATATTAAGAACACATCTATATTTAAATAATTTTATGAAACGAAAATACATGAAATATCTGAAATATTCCTTATATGAACGTATACGACATTTAGCTCTATTTTCCGCTTTCTCTCTCTCTCTCTCTCTCTCTCTCTCGTTGTTTCTCGTTTCAAATTTTGCGAGGGGCGAGAAAAGAAAGCAATAGTTATCCCTAAAATACTAATTTCTTGCAAGTCGTCTCAACGTGATTTCAAATCTGAGACAATCTGCAAAGTAATACTGTATCTTTTGTTGATAATATCTTATAAATCATTAACTTTTGAAATCTTAATACCTGTATACAGAAAATGTACATAAAAGTACTGATTTATGTAAAAAAAAAATAAACAAAGCATAGTTTCATTAAAGCTAATGTGTAACTGTCTTTTCTGGTGTATCGTTGCTTTTAAAAGGACAAGATCCTATAAAACTATTATGAAACCATTTACATCTTTGCTCTATCACTTTTAAATGTCGTTAATTGCATAGCATATATACGTATATTGTACACCCTATGTATCGCGAATAATAATAGCTGATCAATATCCAATGCAAACTTTGTCTTCTTTTCTGTTCTGGACAATATGTCATGGAATAAATATAAATATAAGCACAAAGAAGTTTGAAAATTTCAAAATTACAAAATTCTCGTTTCTTACATAATTGTAACGGTTTAATTTAATTGTCGTCGTAGTAGAATTATAAGCTTCATGTGGAATAATCTTTAGAAAGTTTTGAAAATTTATTTCATAGAATATTTTCTATAAGAAATGTTATATAGACAAAGAGCTATTTTGTAATCGTTTGAAAGTTCTACTGTTCTGCTTAATTAGTTGTAAGATTGCAAAGTAACGAAAGAATAGGAGATAAAATTCCTCTGCCCTATTCTAATTTCTTCGCTCCTTATTATATTCTTCATATTGTTAAAACTGTATCAAAAATTTACATCTCGCAAAACTATTTTACCCAATAATCGACGTCTCTTTTCTCTTTCTTCTTCTTCTTCTTCTTCTTTAATGAAATATACAATAAATCATCGTAATATGAAAATCGTGTGAAATTTGCAGGCAAAGGTATATGCAAGTATCTGACCGGGCAGAATGGTGTGACAGTATCCGTAGTTTCAAGTTGTGGCTCCGTACTAGGCTGTGGAAATGCGAACGTCGTATCTACCACGGGAATCGGCAACAGCACTGGGACGCAAAGCATCGGTATCGGGATCGGAGTGAATGTTCTGAACCAGAACACAGTGGATGACGATGCGGAGGATAGTGACGTTGAGATAAGCAAAATCGACTTTCGAGGGGTGAATTTACGTACGAAGAAGAAGCGAGACGTATCGGGTAGTCAAAGCGGAGAGAAAATCGGTGATGCGGATGTCGAAGATGGAAACGGTTGCTACGATGGGAACGACGTGTCACAGCAACAGCCGGAGAGACCCATGTCATGGGAAGGAGAACTATCCGACCAAGAAATGTCTTCCAATACAATTACAAATCAAGTATGTATTGCTAATTTGCTTGATTTGTTGTTGTCTTTTAATGCTACATTTTCTAAAGTTCAATGCAGGCAGATAAATTATTTCTTATATATCCAAAATGTTTACATTCAAGATAGGTATGTTAATTGAATAACGTTCAACTTACGAATACAACTTTACTTTTATCCAACGTTGTTGAAACTAATCCACGTATAATTATATTTGTTCCATCTAAATATACCAAGTTTTAACGGAGAAACATCGAGAATAAATAGAAACGATGAAAATATGGAAATGTTAACTTATCGTTGATTTCCAAAGTGTATTGCTTGGAAATTATATCGAAATAAACAAGGATTTTCAAATTTTAAGTAAATTATAGGTGAAACTTTATTTTATCTATCACTTTATTGTATGCATACTTTGCAATGTTTTTCTATCAGATTGAGTACTATTTCTAACGTTTTCTTATTCTTTCTTGAATTTTTATGTAACTTTCGAAATTTGTTAATCATCCTACTTAGAATAATTCAAAGATAAACTTTAATTTTAGTGTAATATTCAAAATATAATAATGTAAATGTAAAATTTCCAAACTGTAAATGCGCTACATTAGAAGTAAAGAATTATGATGTACATTGATCCAAAATAATAACATTACTATTTTTCTATAACGATGTCACGCCGAACGTATGTTTATATAAACTTCTTTCTATACCTATCTTTATATAAATTAATGATTTCTCTGTTAGGACACATGTTATACATGTGATATATGACTTTAGAAAATAATACTTTCCGTGAACCATATTATATATTCATTTTTATTTTTTATGTACACATTATATATATACATTAATAATTATAAAAATGCAATAATATTTGTAATATTTTTTTATACCTTTTATAAGTTAACATAAAACGAAATAATTAGCATTAGAACTAAATTAAGTTCAAACTAAACATTTTACAAAATATCTTCATAATTTTAAATCTCATTAAACGATATATCTTCACGTACTATTTGATTTTTATTTTGAAAAAGATATAGTTTATACTATTTCTTAGAATCTTACATTGAATAAATGATTAAACAAATATTGTACTTCGATCACTTTCATAAACAAAGTTATTTATTTTATCACAGGATACACACGAGGACACATCGATGGAGGGTGTGCAAGTATGTGGCGCAAGCCCTGGGCCTATAGAACAGAAATTTCCTATAAAACCAGAGCCAGATTTTCGATCCAGCCCAGGATTTACGCTTGGTTCTTTTCACGATGCAGGATTGCCTCTGGCCCATGGCCAGCAAATGCAACAACAGCAACAGCAACGCAACATTGAAAATCTTGAACAAACACAACAAAATGATTTGCCTCTTCTCGTAGGAAAATTACTCGGAGGCTACAATAGTTCAACTCCGAATCACAGTCCAGTGTTAAATCCTCGACATCATTTAACGAAGCATAGTCACACGAGATCACAGGTAATACGTATTAGGGTATCGTTTTGCTTCGTGTTACTTTGAAATTTGTTATTCCAATATACTTTGCCGTCCATTTTCTTAATTTTTTTAAGTATCAGGATTTAAACACCATACATGAGTAACACGGAAGAATCGTGTAATTTGCAAAGATACATTATTATAAGATACACGTTTAAGATTTCTCTGATAAAAGAGTATATGATTTTTAATTACATGATTTGAAGACTATTTCACCTAGTAATCATATAAATTTTCTGAAAAATTTTGCCAAATAAGCGTAAGACAGTTATTTTAACGAAACAATAGAATTTTTAGACTCAGATGTGAATTATGGCACAAGGACGCTAACTAATTTTCTAGTTGAAAAAATCTAAAAATCTTTTTTCGTATAATGTAATTCCTTGTGCTTGTAACGTATTTGTAATATATTTGTAATGTTTGCAAAACAAACATAGTAAATCAAATTTCATGTCCGTTTATTCAAATCTTATGTCGATACAAAATGTATGTGTTACGTGATTCAAGATTTTCAACATTATAGTTAATGCAAATGAAATTTATATACAAATGGTACTATAAAATAACACTGTCATAACTTCTGACACTTTTACTATTTTCCAGGTGCCGTCACCAGATTCGGCAATTCATTCCGTATACAGCGTATTCAGCTCTCCGACGCAAAGTCCACACGCAGCTCGTCACTCTGCTTTAGGCGCAGGAAGTCCAGTACCATCTTCGTCGTTATCTTTGTCGCGACATAGTTTCAACAATTCGACCTCCTCGTTGTCTCTGTCACACTCACTCTCAAGGAACAATTCAGATGCTTCGAGCAGCTGCTATAGCTATGGCTCTCTCAGTCCTCCTACGCATTCACCCGTTCAGCAACCAAGACATCCGCAACATCATCAGCATCAGGTTGCTCAAGGAAGCCCGCTTCATTTGCCGGCAACAGCCTCGCCTGCCATTGCTCATCATTATTCTTCCTCTGCACCGGGTTCAGAGCTGCCTTCGGAAGGACACACTGCTACTGATGATCAGGAAGACTGTCGAATACCATCAGCGCCATCTGGTATTTCAACTAGACAACAACTAATCAATAGTCCATGTCCAATTTGCGGAGATAAGATTAGTGGTTTTCATTATGGAATTTTCTCATGCGAATCCTGCAAAGGCTTTTTCAAACGCACCGTCCAGAATCGGAAAAATTATGTGTGCCTTAGAGGCGCGGGCTGTCCAGTCACCGTTGCTACCAGAAAAAAATGCCCCGCCTGTCGATTTGACAAGTGCCTCAATATGGGTAAGATAAAAGGAAGTCACTTACTACAGAATTTGTTGACTGGTTTTAAACAAGTATTTAATATATTTCGATTTTGTCGCAATCAATTAATTATTTAACGTCATTAATTAAAAACCTGTAATGCTTTTAATTAAAAAATATCCTTAAAAAATCATGCATTATGTACAGTACGATAATTGCAAATCAATTACTAAAATACATGAAAAATTATAAATTATTCACCAATTCTCGCTATAATTCGTTATTTCTCTATTATTAGTATCGATAATATAATTATTTGAGTATCTCAGTATAATTCTGCAATATTTATTGATATACATGCTACTGTATGCACAATTATATGCTATATGCATACTTGTGCATATGTACATTCATTAAAATTACAATGTAGAAGAATAAATCTTACTATTCATCTACTATGTCACTTTAATTCTTATCTCTTTAAGAATTTTATTTCGTTCCTTTTTTCTAAACAAGATAGTAAAAAGATCTACAAGTAATAATACAGCACTTATAAACAATGAAAAGAAGTAACAAAATTATAAAAAAAAACGATTTCCACAAAAAAAGATATACTGTAACATTGATCAAAAAAATATTTTCAAACGATTAATTGTTTTAACTAAATGCTTATAAATTAAAGTGCAATCTATAATATAGATATTTTACATATTGTTATTGAACAGTTTAGGTTAAGCTTTAAATATTATTATTATAAACAATGCTGTATATTCAAATATAATTACCTATATCAAAAAATGTTATTAAATCCTAAAATATATGAAATATATTTTTTTACTTAAATGTATGTCAAATTTATAATATGTCAATTGGATTTTAGAAAATTTCTCAATTATAAAACAAACAAATTATTACTTGTTCTAAAAAGTTGAAGATTGATAATGGAAAATGTGAAGTTAAATATGAAAAAGAGAACAATTACTTAAGTGAAACTGTATTATATTTCATTTCATAAATATGTTATTGCTGGATTTTTAAAATATCTTGAGAATACGATATCGTTAACAGGTATGAAGCTTGAGGCGATTAGAGAGGATCGCACCAGAGGTGGAAGAAGTACCTACCAATGTACGTACACGCTCCCAGCAAGCCTTGTCGGTAGTTCTGCAAGCAGCATGACCAATGACAAATTAAACACTGGAGGAAATTGTAGTCCAGCTCCAACTGGCAATGAACATTACTATACAGCAAGGCATCATTCGAATCACTCCCATAAAATGCAAGTGGTACCACAACTTCTACAGGATATCATGGATGTGGAACACTTATGGCATTACAATGATAATGATCGCATGACTGGGATTCAAGCTGGTGGGACAAATACTATCAGGAACAATGATACTATGTTATTAGGAGTGGGAAGTGGTGGAGGTTCTGGAACAGGAAATGAAACAGGTTCAGGTGTTGAGTGTTCCTCTAATGGAACTTCAGGAAATGGCAACTCCAGTAACAGAAGAGATGAAAGATCGTGCTCTAATGTTCCCACAGTTAGTAATGAACAACGAGCTGCAGCCATTAGTAGTAGCTCTCAAATTAATAATACAAATGGTAATCCAACTCAGCATCCTGATTTTCTGTCGAACCTCTGCAACATTGCTGATCATCGACTCTATAAAATAGTGAAGTGGTGCAAAAGTTTGCCGCTATTTAAAAACATTTCGATCGATGATCAAATTTGTCTGTTAATTAACTCTTGGTGCGAACTACTGCTCTTCTCGTGCTGTTTTCGCAGTATGAGCACTCCTGGTGAAATTAGAGTGTCTCTCGGCAAGTCGATTACATTGGAACAGGCTAGACAGCTTGGCTTAGCGACCTGCATCGAGAGGATGCTTGCGTTTACTAACAATTTGCGAAGGCTTCGTGTAGATCAGTATGAATATGTGGCAATGAAGGTAATTACTTCTTCCTTGTTTATTAATTTCATAAATTTTCAAGTAATAGATATTTTAATATTAAAATAACTTAGAAATTTTATCTTGTGCTATACTTTTTATCGTGTTAAATATTCTACATGAAAATATACAAAATGTAATTCTTTATGCAGAAATAAATCAGATATAAAGAACAAAAATTTTAATAAGATTTCACTATTGAAAATTTATCGATAGAAATTAAAAATCGAATTTGCAAATTATTAATAAAATCATTCTTACATTCATTGCATTTCCACGTTATTTCTCTGTTTTATTAACATTTTACCTCACGGATTATTGATAAATTTTGTCGCAGTTCAATCTATTAAATAATATATCAAAAATAATATATTTTTTTATTTCACGCAGGTTATACTTTCAATGAACTTGAATTGTATATATAATTCCCAAAGCGAAAGCTAATTTATTATTTTAGGAATTATCCTTTTTACAAGATTTATTTTCTTAATTAAATAAATTTAATAGAGATTTATATTGTCATGTAAACATAATATACTGATTTCAAAATTAATATGATTTTTAATTTCTCTTATGTACAGGTAATAGTACTCTTGACCTCTGATACAAGTGAGCTGAAGGAACCTGAAAAAGTTAGAGCATCTCAGGAAAAAGCTTTACAAGCACTACAGCAATATACTATAGCAAGGTACCCAGAGATGCCTGCTAAATTTGGTGAATTATTATTGAGAATTCCAGATTTACAAAGAACATGTCAAGCAGGGAAAGAATTGTTAAGCGCGAAACGTGCTGAAGGGGAAGGCAGCTCATTTAATTTGTTGATGGAATTGTTGAGAGGGGATCATTGAATTATTACCACACTGAACAATGCCGTAAGTTATTTATTAAATTCATAAAGAATAATAAATGTATTTATTGATCTTATAATTGATATATCTTGTAATAAATTGATATCGAGTTTTGATTCTGATTCAGACATAAGCAACTTATACTGAATTATTTTTCTTATAAGTGTAGAAAGTATTAACACATTTGTAAGATTTTTATGTATGTTTTTTGTTTATCATCACAGTTTATTACATTTCTTGATTATCTTGTTATTTGTACTGGACATATATATTTTCCATATGATATGGCTCAAAAATACTGTACTTCCACAAAATCATAGATTCTTATATAGATTCATTCATCCATACAATATCAGTTGCTTATATCAGTCTTAGAAATTACTATTCATAACAAAATCATATTTAAATATTAATGAAAACATACAATTTTATAACAGTAAAAGTAACAGTTAGTCTTATCAGTTTAATTATTGCAAATTTGTACTACTTTTTCTACAACTTTACATAAGTAGCAATTTTATCATGGAAAATGATGTGCAATTCAAATACATATAGAAATAAAATGCCTTTATATATATTGATAGATATTGTAATTTGTACTATTTTAAATTCATTTTGTCTTTTATAGTATTAATATAGTATAGTAAAGTATAAGTATATAGTATAAATAATATACTAATATTATTTGATATACACATGTAAATATATGCATGTTTAGAAAAATAATTCTTTTAACATATGTTTTGTATGGCTTTTTCCAGATTCCACGCTTATAAGGTCCGTAAGCTTAAGGAATCGGATGTATTAGATAATTAAGGAGCAGCAAAAATAAAAACAAAACCATGATCATTATGGTCCATGATACATTAGTTCTGGGTGAAGGGACTACATTCTTATAGAACTAATTAGAAGTTGACTGCTTGATGCATAAAGCGAATGAGAAATGACGTTTTTCTTTTTCTT